CTCAACTAGAACCATTTTTTTAAAGGGTGCTAGTTCTGTTTACAGATTCTTCATAACTCATTGTCTTTGTTGTTTCTGTTGTTTTATTTATTCCCATATATTTTCAACGTCTTTCAGTACCAGTTCTAAATGTTCATTAGAATTTAAAGATGACCTTTGAAAACATGCTCTTGCATTATTATGCCATTGTCATTATATCACTTGAAAATGATGTCAAAGCAAGAATATTATGGCCTATCGTAATAACTTCTGGGACAATTTACTGTTATTGTGACAATTTATGTCACAACAACATATTTGATCAAATTTGTCATTGTGACAGGCCTACTTGCTGTCTGTAAAACCTGGGATGCGTCCTGCTGTAACCCAGACATAATGAAGACAGGCTAACCTCAACTAACCTGCTAAATGGCACTTGAAATATTTGCAAATAGTTGTTTACTGATGACATAGAGCTTCAGTCCGTGCCGGTGACGGCTGGCTCCAGCGCTGAAGGCTGCAGATGCGGAGCGGTCAGCGAGGAGAGACAAATCCAGATTGAGTAGGCTGGCTGGGAAGTGCAGCGTGGATCACGTCGTGTTGATCATCACTTGTGCTGGTGCTTCTCTGTGGCTTTTATCTCTTTTACATTAGCTACAGCTAAATCCGTATGTGGGTGGCGCTTGATTGCTAGGCAGCATATGGTCCCCTTAGCATCAGATCATTCCACTACATGCTTTAGCAACTGCGAGGCTCTAGCTCCAGTCTGGCCTAGCAGCAGAGACAGATCCCTCTAAGACAAACAATAAGATGGCTGAAAGAAATGCAAGCCTCAGCGTCTACCCTTACATATGAGTGCTGCAGAGCTAATAGAAAGGAAGTTTACCTATTTTTATTGAACAATTACATTTTCAATTCAAGTAAGCTCAAAAAGCATTCATCACCGACTCCAAGTTTACATGTAGTTCCTGACTTCATGTAAACTTGGAGGAATCAAGTCAACAGCCATTTGAGTTTAGATTTGAATTTCTCTCAGTTTTTTTGAAACACTGAATCAGTGTCATTTACAATTTAGAGATAATAAAATATCTAAAATACCAATATTAAGGTTTGGTAGTAAAGATTCGAAACAAGACTGTACAGGGAGAGGAGGACAGTTTTAAATGTAGACACCTTGATTGCTCAGTTGTTACTTTGCTCGACAACCTGTCAATCACTTGTTGGTTGTACACTGATGTACATTTTGAATTATATGCAAATTTCTGATTACATGTGTATGACAAGAGTTTCTGTAAAGCTCATAAGATCAGTATACTAAAAAAATATTTACCAACCAATGACATCTCAACCTTTGCACAAAGTAATCCAAAGACATGCAATGTAATTGCCAGCTCTCACCTGTAGGTGAAATTTCAGGTCCCTTTGAGATTTCAAGATAAAAAGGGAATTGTACGTAAAATATATACTATTATTATGTGACTAATGAAATAAAAAGAGAAGGGTGGAAATATTATTTAGATAATCTGCTGGCAAATACACCAGCTGGAATTCATTACGTTCAGCAGAATCACTTTTTAAATTATGTAGGACAACAATTTCTTCTCGTCAGACGAACAACTCTAATGTTTGCATTAGTCACACCGGCATCTGCCACTAGCACTGGTGGATCTTAACAGAGCATCCAGGGTGTTCCCCAGCTGATTCACCTCTGAAAATAGCCTGCAAACCACGCCTACTTGGCACAGCAAGTATGATGTCATTTACAAATAACTGTCGATGCAAAACCTTATCTACAAAAAGCAAAAAAAAAAAACGTCTAGTTATTTATAACTGCGACACGCCACAGGAAGTTGGTGGAACTGTATTGTCTCAATCATCTGCCAGAGAGTAAAAATGCAGACTGTCTTCAAACAGCGGAGCTCTTCCTCCACGGTAGAACTACTTCCATGCACGAGCGCCTATGGATGCACTTTGGTGGCATGTCCCCACTTCAAGACAGGTATGATTCAGACAGAGTACGGCGACATTTTCTGTACCTTATTTCTCACCGTGAACAAATACTTAAAGAGTCGCACTGAAGAGTCTGAAAGTCTTACCATGTTAGCTGTGGCTTACTGAAACCATTTTAGTTATACTGGCTAATACATTAGCAGCAATAGTAAACAAATTAAATCTAACAAAAACAGACATTTTGTTGTTTTTTTGTTGTTTGTTTTTTAAGAATCTGAGCTACCTTGGAGAGCTTTTGTTAAAAATACCTAAAATCTCACAAACCCAACCTGAATTGTTTTACACTAAACAGATATTCTATAAACACTATGATTTCTGAAGTATTTTCCTCTATTTGTGATAAAATAGTGTAAAAATAATCCACTTAAACTTCAGCATTTTTGTGGCTTCAATGTTTGACCCTGTGTAAAATATTTGACTGCAAAATGCAAAAAATATGTCCATTTTTAAAAATAAAATAAAACTACAAATAAATTGTACTTGTCTATTTTTATTTTATTTTACTTAGCTGAGAGGTTGAAACTGTGTGGAAATATCCCAGTTCAACTTCAGGATTGTAAATGAGGAAATTTAAAGATTATATCATTAAAGCCTTAAGTAATACCTCCTTAACTCATGTGTTTTTCTTTTATTAAATAGAAAAAATGCATACAAGTTCAAGTTTTTTTTTTTTTGACAGATTTACATTTCTAGTTCTTAGTTTCCAGAGGGAAAAGAATATATGACTTTAGTATTTGGCATGCTGATCAGAACTCATTCAAAGGTTAAAAAAAATTTTTAAAAATTGATTGCCATGTTCCACAAAAACAAAAAAACCCCAAAAGCTATTGTAATCCCTCAACTTGGAAAAATAAAACACGAGACCAGCAAGGCATTGAAATTTGTCGGCATGTTCTTCAGCCATTCAAAAAGGTACCTCAAAAGGTTACTGGCACAATTCCCTGCATCTCAGCTGAACATATATGGATCGAGGCCTAGATGCTGTTGTCTCAGGTTCTGGATGGTTGGACCTGCTGACCAATACCTACCCTCCATCCCACAGAACCATAGAGCCATCTCCGCTCTATGGTTCTATTTTTTTAATAGTCAACTTGCTAAATTAGCCATTCACACCACAAAGTCATTGTTGCGCTCTCTTTGGTATTTCACTGACTGCTTGTTGCACTGTTGTGCAGATATATATACATTTTTTAATGCAGTTCATGATTACAATGCATTTTAAAATGCTCTCAGGTATGCAGACTGATTGCCAGCGGTGTGTGGTAGTGTAGCAATCCTATGGCCTGCTATGTCAGCTTCCCTATAAAAAAAAATAAAAAATTGTTGTAAATTGATTCTAAAAAAAAGCCCCGACCTATTATTCAAAGCATGTGCAGTAATATATAATGCAGCAGTTCCGCATACAGCGTCGTGCTTCTTAAATGACAATAAAATGCGCTTTCTATTTAATGCACAGCACTGCCGTTACATGACGAGTCGGTGCATTTTCCTGCTCGATGGGTAAAAGTGTGCCACAATTAACCGCAAACCTACATGCAATAAGCGGGTATTTCTGCCACTAAAACTAATTTGCGAGGCCCTGGTGGCTAATAAGAGTGCGGGCTATGTCGAGAAAGGATGAGAAATATCTGGGCCACAAGCTGCAGGCTACTGTCAGCAGAGCCCTGGGGTATTGGAGCCAAAAGTGGGGAAGAAAAGCGTTTCCTCCTCGCAAAGCTCGACGTTTCTCGACCGTTCACTCAAAGCCAGACACTCACGGCGGAAAAGAAGCTGCGAAAACGCCACATTATTCAACACATTAGAGCCAGGGCCTGCCAGCTGGTGTGTTTACCAGTCGGCGGAGGCTGAAAATAGGAGCCGTTGCTTCTGCTGCTTACCATCTTGCGGGTCGGATGATGAAATCCAGGCGATGAGAACGGAAAAGAGGTGAAACAGGAAGAGTCAGCGGGCCGCCGAGCTGAGCGGAACGATACCAAAAAAAAAAACCCAACGCGGTAGTAGTGCCTCTTCAGAGGTCTGGTCCTGGATTTGTACCCAGCTTTCAGACTCTCCTTGCCGTCTCTCTCAGTAACCGAGGCTTTCACTGCAGTGGCGAAGGGAGTGAGAGCCGCTGGGAGGGGACAGTAAGCGGAGGAGGAGGTTCGGTTTGACAAGCAGGCGGTGGCGGAGAGGCGGAGGGAAAATGAGGAGGGGGGAGGTGCGGCAGTACTGTACATCCGGGTACTACAAACTGCATGTTTTTTTTTTTAATGTCCTACACAAAGCAGCTTTGTGCATGGGCTCCTCCTGGTGGTGGAGTCTCAACATTGCAGGGAGGTGTTTTCCCTAAACTTTGTCGCAAAACCAGATCACCATAAAAATGATATTTTTTGAAAATAACTGTTTACGTGTTGGTTTTATTCATCTCTGTAAAATAAATGTAAATAGGGAAACACAAAAATGAACGATATTTAATGAACAGGTCACAATACACACACACACACACACACACACACACACACACACACACACATATATATATATATATATATATATATATATATATATATATATATATATATATATATATATATATATATATATATATATATATATATAATATATATATATATATATATATATATTCACGTGTCTTTGACATGTAAAATACAAGACACCATTTAATATACATATACAAGACCTCGAAGTTTGTTTCTAGTATGAATAAGACGGACATCTAAGGAGCATCAAATGTGAAGATAAAATTTGGTCACTTTTCAGTTGCATTTGACATGAATGTCAATGTAATGCCAAACAGCAGATTAGCAAGTATCAAATGTTTATTTAGGACCTTCAATGTAAATTATGCCGACCGTGCTCTCAAAGGAAATTTCACCTCATGTATTGTTGAAAATTTCCTGCAAGAGTTGTGTATTCTTCCAGGTGCTGAAAGTTTTATAGAACTAGTATTCAAAGAGATTATTAGAGCAATTAAACCATGTAAACCACTTAATATGAATGACAACAACTGATGCAAACATTATTTTCTTGTTTAATATAAGAACATTACAAACATCACTTTAACAACAGGAAAAGTTTCGTCTTAATATAAATCCCATCAGAACAGCACATTGCACATGTCATTTTGTCGCCCTAATATTCTGCATAGATCAATTTAATTGAGAATTGAGAGTGTTTTCTGAAAAAATAAATGAGCAATTTGCAAAGAGTTCATGGTTCTCTGTACAAAAAAGTATTTTCTTATATAATTTCACCAAAAAATATAAAACAGTCAATAAAGAGGTCACTAAAGGTTTTGGCTGGGAATATTCCAAATACAACATTTTTTTCCACTCTCCCGAATGGAGAGGCAGCCAGGTCCTTTTAGAAGAGGTAGCAAACACAAACACGCTGGAGACAAGAACTGCATACAAAGCTAAAACACCTATTTTTATAACTGGATTTAATGTTGAAACGACGGTATTCAACATAAGGAACTCCCACATAGGTAAACATAGAGTGCTTCAAACCAAGATGCTTTTTAAGTCGGTCAGATTGTACCAAAAGTTTAATCATTTTAAAACTGTATTAATAAAACTTGATCAACAGGTCAGCAATCAAGAATGCATAAACATGGCTCCAAATATGGCAGTAACACCCTGAGGGCATTATAGATGAAACTTTTCATGAGGGGTCTGGTCATCGTCTCAAATGTTTGACCATCGTCTTCCACTTCTTTAAGAACAAGCGTGACAGGGGAATCAGGTCCAGCAGTAAAAACCTGATATTACTCTCACCAGAAACGTTCTCCAGTTTGTTCTGGCAACCTGGGGGCAATCCCAATCCAGAAAGGACAAACAGTCCCCTTGGTAGATCTTGGGTCTGCCTTGAAGTCTAGTGGGACATGACCAGATATCCTCCAAAGGAAGGGCCCTTGATCAGATCACCAAAATTCAGGGTCAGAATGTTGATGGACTCTGTGATGGTCCGACCAGCAAACTCAAGGACAAAGGCATAAAAAAATAACTATTTAATTTTTCAAAAAGAGCTTAAAGATTTTTTTACAACAAATTTCAAAAAGAAATATAAGAAAAATGGGCCCAAAAAATAATCAACTAAAGCATACCAACTCAACAAACAAAACTAACTGACTCTTCTCAATGAACACACAGGGGAATTTATATACAAAGGCTAGCCTACACACACACACACACACAAGGAGGGGTGGGGGAGCAAACAGAAGCAACCAATACATAAACATAAATAAATTCAAATCACAACATTTTACTTTAACACAACTATAAAACAAAACAACCTAACACCATAAATATTATAACAATAGAGTGAGAGGAAGATGTCAACAGGGCGAGAGGAGGAGTCTTCCACATCAAATTCCCTGCTTCCCGCAGCCTGATGGTTGGTTCCAATTACTGGTTTGAGACAATCAACTCCTCCCAGCCAGTCCTTCAACTCAACCAAAAACAAAATAATTAATATTCTAAATAAACCAAGCGTTTACTAAAATGTGTGCACCCAATCTAGTAAACAACTTAATACCAAAACCCACCAAAGAAAAAGTGATATAACCAATATAAATATTATCAATATAAAACATTAACTAAATACTAACACTAAAGAAAAGAACACTTAACACTGAGAAGATGGAGGAACCTCCACAGACTCTAAATAAGGAATTTCCTTTTTGACTATTTTCTTCCTGAACATCAATTGCATTATCCCAGTTAAGGCCCCAATCTATTCATCTATATCCTGCTCCCTTGTACTATAACTTATAAACAAGACTCCTGATCCTAGAACTTCTCCTTTACACGGCAGAGAGAGAACCTTGACCAAGAGCATCATTCCTCAACCCTGGTCCCTCCAAACCACTGTCCTCCATGTTTTAGGTGTTTCCCACAAATGACTTAAACAAGTGAGTTGTTAACAGGCTTCTCCAATCATCTGAATGGAGAAGCCTGTGGAGCAGATGCACATCTAAAAGATGAAGGGCAGTGACCTGTAGGGGCCAGGGTTAAGAAGCACTGACCAACAGTAAGCAGTTCATCATTTTCTAATTGAGAACCAGGGTTTCAAGCTAAATGAAACTGATTCTCATCCTGTCCACGTCACATTACGCTCTGATACGTACTGTGAATGCCGAAAGTCATTGTTCGAAGACAAAAAGAACCATGTCATCTGTGAAAATCAAAGATGAAACCCTGAAGTTTGCAAACCATACTCGTCCCTGCATCCGGATTCTAGATAAGAGGCGGATCCGGCAAAATCCAACCACCACTGGGATATTTACGCAGTTCTTGGTTTGGCATACTCTACCATCCTCCTCCACACAAAGAGACACAGTTATGAGTCTCAAGATCCACAAAGCACACGTGAACTGGACACTAAACTCCTAATAGCCCCACAGCCATGAACCATGACCAGAACATAAGCCATGCCAAACAGTTGATTGGAGTATCCAGTACTTTTCTCAGGGAGACTTAGAGGTTGGATCCCTCTGAAATCAGGAAATACTTTCAGATCTTCATTCCAAAAAAATAAAAATAAAAAATACTATAACCACTCAGTTTGCCAAAGCCACAAGTCCTTTTTGAACCATTAGAAGAGGCATCTCATTTATACAGCCTTCAGTTTATTGGTACAAATCTCCTAGACTCTATAGCACCCTGCTGCCAATGAACCTTTTACATGCCAACCATTGCTGCCATACTGTTAGTCTCCCCCACCCCCCACCTGAGTTCTCGCACATATTTTATGGCAGTGCTTTGCAGACAGATGGGGGATGATCACTTGGGTGCCAATTAAACAAAACTGAGCAAATACAGCAGGCGTAAGGAATGTGTGTGAAATTATGGATTTTAACAGTGCAGTTGTTTGACTTTTATGCTGGCTTTTGTTGATTACAAGGAACAAAAATAAATATTTCATAGCTAACAATGAATATGAAAAATGGGTAAAAACAGCAATGTATGTGATTTTGAGTTTATTAGTGCTCAAATATTAGATTGTTTTTCCTGTCTGTGACTAACTGTGTTATCTTTGGTGTCTTAGATTGACCTAAGTTTATAAATGGTTGTCAAGTTTCCTGTTGTATGAACAACACTGAATCAGTGGAGACTTTGTGACCAAATCTCATTACTCAGCGCTAAGTAACTTAAACAAATCAAATACATCTCAAGAAATAAGAGACAGCTCAAGACTTTTCCACAGTACTGCATATAGCTTACAAATACATACGTATCCACATAACCACATCAGTAGCACCATATGTAAAACACATACTCATCGGAAACACAGGTAATCGTTCACAACCATAGTACTGTTACATAAAACTATTTTTTCCACACTTGAGGGACAGAATACCAGAGTGTAAATGGAAAAATAAAAACTTGCCAAGGAGGTTTATGCAGTCTTTGACATAAAATAGAAGGGCATCGGCCTGTTACGGTTTGCATTTTCTGACACCGATAGAAGGTTGAAGGAGGGAGGCCTCGTTAAAGCACACGTCCACGTCTCTCGCGCCGCCTCTGGTCGTCAGACGAACATCTCTTTGTTGATCCACATGAGCGTGCGCGTGTCGTTGGGCTTGCATTCGTACTCGATGCTGTTAAAGCTGTTGCCCCACTGGCAGTGGTCCCTCTTGTTGTAGTTGTAGAACTTCACCTGCCACACGGTTTCAAACGATCCAGCCTCTGTGAACTGGAAGCACGGACACAAGTACGAGACATGCAGACCTTAAGGTTTGAGCATCATTGAATCGCTTGCTGTGAAAACATGATTATTAATCAAGGAAACACCCCGTGTACATCCAATTTTAAAGTACAGTTTGTGGAAAAGCCTTTACAGGTGAAAGACATAGGAACATATTGCTATGCAGAGCTCATGAAATTGTGTTTTCACAGCTCTGCACACTTTAAACATGCTTACAGTTCCATTTAATTTGAATGAATTGTTAAAGATTAAAATACTTGTTTAAATAAGTGGAAGGCCGAATTTGTCTAATTCTTTCGGTGCAATGAAAGCTCGATTTATTTAAAGCATTGTGCATTTGTCTTGAGCAAAACTGCAAATAAATGCGGAAGCCGTTGCAAATAAACATAACATTTAAAATGCACCAGATGTTGTTACACATCAGAAATGAAGTTTTTAAACATCGTTTAAAATGTTGTTACAGTAGTAGTTTGCTGCAGGAACTCATGCTTCCCAAGAATTATTGTTTTTTTTAATGATTCAACTTTGACCCCAAGATAAGACAGCGACAAAGTTTCACAGACAGACATGATCACATCTCTTTCCAGTGAGCAACGAAAAATAAAAAAGTATTATTTTTAGTAGCAGAGCATTTTCACATTGTATTTATAGTAATAATAATTTTAATCCCACCAGGCATTCATAAAATAATATGTGAGAATTACTGTTACATCTTTGCAGAAAGACCGACTTGGACTGCAACGTTCTACGTCAGGGTCAAGGTAATTTATGTTATAGTCTATGTCTGCTCTAATTTGAAGTTTGAAGAGATACAAATACTGGATCAGTTGCATTATTGATGATGGTGGAAAACGCCGTTGGATGCACACACTGGGTTCATACTCGAACGTGTGCAGTACACACATACCTGGATGTTGATTTGAACTGGCTGCCTTTCTCCACTCTTTGTGTGTGCCACCCCCTCAGTGTCATACTGACCGGTGTAAACCACAGACTGGGGGTCTTTGGATTGCTGCTCCAAGGGAAAGGTCACTCCACCCACACTCATGGAGCTGCAGGAGCATACACGGAAAAACATTCTGATGACATATACAGAACCTCGCAAAAATGTTCACTTTGTCACGTTACTGTTACAAGTATTTTTATGACTGACCAGCACCAACAATTCTTCTTAACACAGCTCAAACTCGGCCAAATTGAATAGAGAGCATCTCTGAGCATCAACTTTCCTTTTCATTTATTTATTCATTAGTCCAGAGATTCTCAATTCTATGTTTTGACTAGGCCATTCTCAGACATAAATATCCTTTTATTAAAGCCAGCCGTGCCCACCTCCATCTCAAGAGCTGCTATCTTGGAACTTACAGATGCATACTACGCTGCGAAAACACAAACTCTCACCAAGCACGTTTGGTCTCATTTCTAGTGGAAATATCTTAGGACATTTGAAATAAGACATAATTAACTTTAAAGAAAAACACAGGAGATTATTTTAAGTGAATAATTCCTTAATATTGCTAATAACATACTAGTTCCACTGGCAGATTATTTCACTTATTATGAGGGAATAATGTTTTGATGTAAAAAAACAAAAACAATATTAAGCTCCTGTGCCTTGCCAAAAAGTTACTTGTAAATTTGTCTTAATTCAAGTGGACTAAGATACAGTATTTGGATGCAAAACTAGACCAAAAACTACTTGGTAACAAATGTTGTGTTTTTGCAGTGCAGTTCTCACGATGCCACTGATTGCATTGAAAGAGAAGAACTGACAAGTCTTTAATTAATCAAAATATTAATTTCTCATTCATTCAACTACTTGTTGCTGCAATGCGTGACACACAACCCCTACTGAAAGCATTGCAGTTGTCATGCTCCTTAAAACATAAAAAGCTTCAAAGTATTTTATCCAAACAGCTGGAGATCTTTGACAGATTTTTTTTTTTTTTTGCTACAGCCCCACTGACAAATCAAAGTGGAGCTGCAGGCTCACCCAGCTGTGCTGTGTGCCCCACATTCAGCTGAGCAGCTCTTCTGCATCATGCCATGCGTGACCTACATTCATATAACTCTTGTTGGGGAGCGTGCTCAGGGATGTTTCACAGCATTACATCTGTCTCTAATCCGTGTTCGGAGATGGCAGTGCGACTCTGGAGATTGATTGCATAACCAGAGAGTCCGAGTCACTAGAGCCCCGGTGACACGGCGCCACAAAGGCCCGCGGCCCACAGTAATCCTCGGTGGATTTGACGTGCAGGCAGGAGGTGTTCTTGTTGCGTTCACGTGCCGCACATAGAGTCGGCTTTAAAGTTGCCTCGACGAGCCGTGGAGCCCTCAGGGCCAAAATGTTGGATCAATAATAACAAAAAAAAAATTAATAATAATCATTTAAAACATGGAATTGAACATAAATAAATAAAAACACACACCAAAAAAAAAAAAAAAAAAAAAAAAGCTGATCAGTCTGTATCAACATGAAGCAAAACTAATAATAAAACAATGCATTTTTTAAACTACCCTTTGTATTATTGGACAATTTCTATTGTCCAATAGTAGCCTATAGAGAAAACACTCAGAAAACGTAGTCCATCTGTTCGCAGCGTTTTGATGAGGAACTATCTAATGGAAAAAGTCACTAATCTGGGTTAAAAATATTATTAGATGCATTTTTTTAAAAAGAAAATGCAGCAGCAACCTCACCGAAAATATTCAGATACTAAGCTCCAAATATTCGCCCTATTAGAATGAGATACATGTTGGTTTTGCCTCCCAGCCTCACCAGATTTGCCCCCCAGACCAGATCAGGATAATCCACGTGAATACCTACGTGGCCTGGACCGCTCCCGGCTTCACCACCACCTCGATCTTGTACTTGGAGCCCGTCAGCAGCTTGATGGTCCGCGTCTGCCCGAACCGAGCCCCGTCCGACTTGAAGAACACCGCGCTGTTGTTCGGAAGCATCTTCAGGGAAATCCCGATTTTGACGATCTGGGGGACGTCGGCCATGTTCCCATGCGGCCGCAGGGGACGCCTCGGTGCGGGCGAGTGATTGCGGCGGCAGGCGCGGAGAGAGTCGGGGTGCGCCTCGGGGGTCGCGATCCAGTTGGCGGCGGAGCGGACCGAGGAGCTCGTCGGGCGGCGACGAAGCGCGGCGGCACTCTCTGCGCGCGCGACGCCGCGTAATCCACTCCAACCCACAGCGCGAGCCTAATCCCAACCCGTGCTCTCTTTTGAGGAAAACCCCCCAAAAAACAAAACAAAAGCAAAACCCTGTCCCTTTCTCTCACGTCACACTCCCACACTATATGCCCACTCCTCTCGCTCCTCGCGCGTGTCTTTGCCGGTCAGCTGTCCTTGGTGCTGAATTAAAAACCGATGCATTGTGTCGCTTGCAAATACAATCTGTAGTCATGCAAACATGGCTACAACAACAAAAAATACGTGTCTTCCCTCCCATCCCCCTAGTATTTTATGTCATCTGTCTGTAAAGCTGAACAGTCTCTATGCTGAGAGGCCGATAGCCATAATCTGAATTTAATCATCATCTAGGTTTCACAATCTAACTTAAAGAGTCCAAACACCTCTTTTTAAACATCTCTCTCTCTCTATTTTTAAATATATATCTATAGGTCTATACACATTTAGAACGTTCAATGCAAAAAAAAAAAAAAAAAAAAAGGACAAACTTACAAATATCAGAAGGAGCACAGGGAGCCAGAGGTGGACAAAAACAGGAACCCATAGGACAAAAAGACAGCAGGGTTGAACGGGGAAGAAACTGAGGAAAGAAACGACAGGAACCAGTAGAAGCATTTAAATAATGGGAGAGTGAATGTGGGGAAAAATGAACCAGGGCTGATGGCTAAGTGACTGCAGGTGTGAAGGGAGAGAGGGAAAAAAAAACACACAGAGAGAGACTAAGGACAAAGGTACACTGAATAATAAACAAATCTCAAAACAACCCAGGATCCTAACAGATGACTTACAAACTCACAAGAAATATCCTAAAGTAATTGTCTAAAATGTTTTGTTGTTGTTTTTCTTCGAAAGGCCACATAACATTTGAGGCTCTAAACAAATTTTATTCGGCTGACCTGAGAGCACAATGAAAAAGTTGCAGAGGCCAATTTATTCTAGGTTCTGCTGGCTCGCTGTAATGCGACAACGTTACCACTAGAGGTCAGGCTTGTACCACAGCGAGAGAAAGGCGTTTAGGCTTTTTTTTTTTTAATGAAGGAGACGGGTGTGTTTATTAGTCGAATATTCGTGCAAAAAGAAATGTGTAATAAAGTTGAAGCAATTTATGCAATCAGTTGTTGGACCTATTACTGTAGAATGTAAAAAAATAATAAACTACTACTACTACTACTACTACTACTACTACTACTACTGTCAGGTTCTGTGTTTTTCTGTGTTTAATTCTGAGTTTCTGTGTCCTGAGTTCTCCTCGTTGTCCTGTCTTCCCCTTGATTGTTCCCAGGTGTGTCTTGTTCTCCTGATTACCCTCAGTGTATTTAGTCCCTCCCGTGTCCTTTGTTCCTCGTCGGGTCCTTGTCGTTTGTTGTCAATTGTCAGTCGCTGTTTGCCGCCTGTTAGACCAGTGCTACCGGTGTTGAGCCCTGGCTTCCGCTCAGCCGTGCTGCCTGGCCGCGGACTCCGTTTGTGGACTTTATTTTATATTAAATTACCACCATTCACTTACCTGGGTCTCCAGCGTGCTGCCTCACCACCTCCACCACCACCATTTTATGACAACTACTACTACTAATAATAATCTGTAAACACCAATACTGGGAGTCATCAATAAATTTGCAGAGATTATGCTCTGAATACATCAGATTTTTGTTTTAACTAATAAAATTGCCACTAGGTTGGAAAAGTCGTTCAACATTCAGTTGTTTGATGGCAGGTCAAAGTAGCACCTGCACTCCTCTTGTGTGAAACTCTGTTATTGACAAAGAGGCTTTTTTTTCTGCAGAATGCTGCCATCTGGGATCACACGAAGCCTTCGCTCACTTTTCAACACCTAAAACATTTAAACCTCACTCAAGCAACGATTGGCAGCTTCATTGACGTGTCTTTTTTTCTTTTTCTTACCTTCACATTTCAATCGCAAATATATGCTGAGGAAACAGATAAATAATTTCCAGTTGCTTTTCAAACCAAATGAAGACTTTGTTTTGGGGGGCTCGTGCTGCGCCACACCTCTGTCCAGTGGGAGCGCGAGGATGCGTTGGTGGAAGAATGAGTGTGGGAGGGTGAAAGGGGAAGGGGGGGTCCTTTCCTCCCTCCCTCCCGACAAATGTCTTTGGAGATCCACTCCTTCATAACCCAACTCTTTCCCAGCCTTGCGCAGATGGCCAAAGTATCAAAATCGGAGTCAAATGAGCGTAGAGAGACGGTATGGGAGGCCATTAGAGAATTAACCCATAATTAACCCCTCGGTCCGACTTACCTCAATAGCTGAAGTTAGAATACCGAGAAAAACACTTGGCTACATGTGGGTGCGAGCCGGTCTCTGAGCGCGCTCCCCGCTCGCGCCGGTGATGCCATGCCGCGCAGCCACACCGGCGACGAAAGCGGCGGCACCGGGATCTGGCTGAAGACCTCCGCTGGGAGCCGGACTCAGGAGCACCCGTTAAAAGATGTGGAATCTGGACGGAGGGCGATGAACAACGCGGTTCGGGTCGGGGACGGGCTGCTGTCTCCCCCAGCAGCAGGTGCGGCGGCGGCGGCGGCGGCGGAGAGGAACCAGGGCGCCCGGCTCAGTCTGCTGGGGAAGCCGCTGACCTACAGCTCGCAGAGCGGCCGCAGGAACGCGCGGTACCGGCGGCTCCAGAACTACCTCTACAATGTGCTGGAGCGGCCGAGGGAGTGGGCTTTCGTCTACCACGCTTTTGTGTGAGTACAAACTTTAGCTACAAATATTAAGAAAACAAAACAAAACATTGCTACTCGCGTCTTCTAACTTTTAAAAGTCGAACAACTGCTTAGAAAGTAGCCTACATGCGTGCACACCCTGCTTCATTTACCCCGCAACATCGACTTCATCACCTGGACATGTACAATACAGACACATTAGTGAAGAATAATGTAGAGTATCGTCAAACAGTTATTTCACTGATTCAATTTAAAAAGTGACAGAGATTCGGACATTGAAATATTCCACACATCCAACTAATAAAGGTTTGTTTACACGGTCAGGGGCTTCATTGACGGACATGCACACCCTCCCCAAGAATGGTAAGCCTCCAAAGGCATCACTCAAGGAGCTGGGTTGTTCATATAAACTAGCACCAAAGTTTAGTGGAAGGAAAAAGTGCAGCAAGAATAATGGTGACAATATTTGGAAATTAAGGTCCCAGAGTCAGAAAAAGAAGAGTAGAGCGTTGCAGAATCCATGATGGGTCAAGGTTGATGTTGATGTTACCTCGACCTGCTCTGATGTTTTGAGAAAGTTCGGGGACATTTTGGGTTTTCTGCCACCCTCACCATAAAAATTAATAAGCTGAAACATTGCTTAAAGATAGAATATGAATATCAATTTTTGTAACAGGAGCTTGCTTTTTGACGGTGTCCTGTTGCATAAAATGTCCTTTGACGTAACTTGTGGCTCATGCCGTCATGCAGAGCTCTATATAACTGAACCAGAGCTTGTTGGCCATGACATTTGTTGTGAATCAGCTCAACGCAGATAAAGTGAAATTAAGCGATGCTGAAACAGAAACCGTAGTGTGCTCGCTGTTGCGCGATATAATTAGGTCACGGCTTAACTTATCTTTGTACAACTTGGACGTCCTCCAAGAGATCTGGGAAATCAGTCAGACTACAAACGAGACGGATATGAACAGGCTAGTTCTTCAACTTCATTCAAAACAAAGTGGTTCTGGGAGGAAAGCCCTTAGATTGAAAACATCCTCCCCCTGACCACAACTTGTTTTCTTCTTCTTCCTTTTTTTCTTATGTGAAATACTCTGATTTCCTCTCTCTACTCACACAATCAATTTGCAGATCTTTCTGACCTCCCCTGGTTTTTGTCTGTCAGCAGCACTCTGAATGATTTGCTGCTTGACGTAACGGTTTCTGCGTCCATAAAGCTTTTTTTTTTCTTTTTTTTTTTTTCTGTCGACTTCTCACAAACCCGCAAACTTCCTCCTGAAGCAGGAAACAGGCCCACAGCATTACATATCCTCCACTGTACTTTGGAGTGGGTATGAAGTGGTTTTCTACATAATAGTCTCAAAGGGTTTCACACTGAGATGTCAGTCAGAAAATGTATTTTATTTTATTTTTTCAAATCACTTATCGCTCGCAAAAAACCTGTTATCGTAAAGATTCGCCTCTCGTGGTCATCTCGTTGACTTGGTGATCCCAAGAGCTTTGCGGCATTGAAGTTTAGATGAAAATATGGATTTGTCTTAAGGCTTTTTATAACTCTACACCAGTGGTGCCAATGAAAAAGGCTTCCACTGAGGTATTGTGTTCCCATCGTCGGACCGAGGCGCCGCCTCCCTCCCTATTCCGAGCCCTTTCTTTTGGAAGAAGAGCTCTGTGAGAAGGAAGTGGAGCTGTCAGAGGAGATGCTGCGAAGCCGGATGCTGACATTTTATTTGCTCCTGCAGGACAGCCGAGGTCGCGGGGGGTTAAGTTGTTACATCTGCTCCAAACCGCAGCCTCCCACACTGAGCGGTTCTGATCAGCTGTGCACACTTAACAAAGCAAACCATTTGTTTAAGTGGGATAGAGGGGAGATTTGCGCAAATAATCTCTCACGCTTCAGGCAAGTTTGCAGGAAAAAGCGCGGGACAAGAAACAAGAGAATCCAGGCAGAAAACGAATTAAATGATCAAAAAATGTCAAAGTTTATGCTTTGCTTTGTTTATTTTCAGTATTCTTGTGTAAATGCTGTTTGTGTTTGCACACCTAGGCTTTGGCATGTTTAAATTTCTTCCTAGAAAGCAGGGAAAGCAGATAGAATATTGTAATAAGTTAGAAAATGTATTTCAGTTCACTGAAAGCCAGTTGTTCAATCTGAAAACTAGGGGGGTGATAGAGAAGCTCAGCACTGATTCATTTCTGCTTTACTCTGATATTGTGGAGGTCAGCTCATAGAAACAAAACATCAGTGCTTTTAATTTCCAGCCAGAGGTGAATATTATGTGAAAGATGACCTGGATTTATGAAAATGAGAAATTATGAAACATATCGAAAACATTTTTTTACTGAATCTGTATCCACATAGAGTCCAGGCTTAGGTTTGATTGCTCTATATTTATTACTGTAATGCTCCTTTTAACATTTGAAATGTTATTTTCCTTCTCCCAAGTCTCAAATTGTACTTATTCAATCAAATTTAGCTAATCACTTACCAAGCTTAGCATTATTGTCCAGACTCAATGGACAATAACCAGCGGGTCACCTATCCCTGTTGAAACACATCTGGGTGCAACTGACAAATTATAATTTTTTCTCCTGAGAACACTTTTTGTCACCCAATGATAGAATAACAAAATCACAGCATCAAAATGAAAGTTTGATATTCATTCGCCTAAAAGTTTGTTCAGTTGATTTTGTGGCAACAGGATGCCTGGGGGCATCTGAACAGACGTTCAATCTCAGTGAAAAAAAAACAACAAAAAGATACAAGCTGCAAAGATACAAGTCCACTGTTTTAATCTCTACACGTTGCAAATAAAATCGGAATCTCATAAAGCCAGCAAGTAATTAATCCTCCCTTAATTAACTGCATAATGCGATGCATATGGCTTTGATAAACAGCCCCATCATGCAAATGCATATGTAGAACATAAAATGTCACCTCATTTCCAAACACACCAACAGGTGTTTGGTAAAGCTGCACAGTTGCGAAAACTCGCCTGGCGTCGACACATGCTTCTCACAAATACTTTCGCACGTCAGTGCTCAACAAAGCACTGAGCGCATGATTTATAAAAGAAAGGTTCCCTTTGATCGTTGCTGTTTGTCTTTGGTTAGGATTCACACCGAGCATTAGAAAGCTGTTTTCTTTTCTTCTTAATGCATTTGGCTGTATAGAGGAATCTACTATATGTATCTTCTGTATGAATCTTGATACAGACGAGCCGCTGTTGTTGCTTTCTCGCGGAGTAATGCTCCTCCGTTTGACATTAAGTCTCTATCTCCCAAATGAGATAGCGTGTGTTGGGCTAATCACATTAGCAGGAAATGGGTTCCAGCCACAGTCTGCATTTTGTGCTGAACTGACTTCTTGTTTTTAACAAACTTTTTAGACGGTTTTTTTGTTGTTGTTTTTTTAAAATTTTATTTTGGTATGCAAAAATCACAGGACATCCATGTACTTACCCGTGCCAGTGTGTAAAGTGTTGCTTTCCCCACACGCACTGTGCTGACATGTCAACATGTTGGATTGTGTCTGAGTAACAGAAGCAGGTTTGGCATTTGGGTGTGTGTTTGTAGGAAATTGATTGAGTTATCCATGGTATGAGTGTGTCAGCAAATGATCCCCAGGCTGTTCTGGTCTACTAACAGGGGGGTGGGGGGAGACAAATCAACCAAGTGAATTACAATTCTGTGAGTATCACCTTTCTAAAGTGGTCAAGCTGAGCCCATTCACACTTATATTTCTGCAAGACAAATTGCTTTTTGAAGGATGGACTGGGTGTAAAATTCATCTCCTTACATTTTATATTTTCACAACCAGCTATTACCAACTTTAAATAACGAAAAGTGTTTCAACCAACAGAGACTTCGCAGCTCATAGATTTGGTGGTTCGTTACAAACAAAAAGAAACTCAACAATTTATTGTTTTTCTCTTTTCTCTCTCTCTTGTTCCACCAAAAACCGGATGACAAAAATCTTCAGTCTTGTGCTTTGGTCTTATCATCCACATATCTCTTTTTTTTTGAAGGACATGTTTGTTTTGAAAAGACTTCAGAATTCATTTTATTTTATTTGTCATTTTGTTTATTTATTTGGGATATTTAAAATATCATCCAGACCCAGTGCTACACGTTGACTAGAATTTAGAGCTTATTAGTCTATGAGAAACTTATTTTGACCCTTAATATATTAAGACCCTTAATATTCTTTTAAGGGTCTTAAAAGAATATTATTATTTATAACAATAACTCATGCACATAAATGATTCAAATCATAATGTTGCACGTGCTATGTGAGAGCTGTTACAATTTATATTACAGGTAGTTTAATCATTTCCCAACACATTTTATCTCCCTGTATTGCTATGTCATAATTTATTGTGTTTCTTTAAGGTAATGCAACCAATGTTATTAAATCTCAAACAAAATAATCTTGTTGCCACACTCTATTCCATCACTTGCTAAGCTCCAGCTGCATTGATCAAAACAGGAGGGGAAAAAAAGGGGGATGTATGATTCGCTTAACATCAAAGGTCTCTCATAGAGGCTGCACTTTATTTCCTCAGAACACAGCGACAGACACCTGAGCGCATAAAAGACTCTATGTTTAGGTTCAGTGTTAGTTCCAGGTAGCTGGCCAGCACCCAGTGGAAAATGCTGGAAATTGCTTGGGACCTATTAGATCAGATGAGCAGAATGAGAGATTTGTGTGTGCGTGTCTGTGTTTGCGCATAAATACTGTCATGTTGTGTTCCGGTGTTTGCATGAATGGGCACAGAGCTGGCACTATTAAAGACAGCATGTGTGTATGCGTGTGTGTGTTAAGTCCTTACTGGATAGTGTAACACAGCACAGATACTGGGGAGTGGTGTCACCGCATCACTCGCTGGTGCACTGCCATGCCAGGCTCCACTCATCCTTCCTCCACTCATCCTTCCTTAGCAGAAGGATGAGTGGAGAGGAAAGAGGTGGAGGCAAATATTCCACATTTTCTAGGAAAGGAAGCAGACAGAAGGATGTTG